TTCTTGCAAATGAAGAAGCTGCTTAAAACTTCACTTAAAACTTAGGGCCTCTCTCCCCTCCTCGCTCCGCGTTCGTCTGTCTATCCCTCCTGTATATCTGACACAGATCCATCATGCATTTTGTCTTGCGGTCACTCTGTATGTCACTGTGTCCATCACTGTCTCTCACTTTGTCCTAAGTCTCCCTGTGTCTCAAGCCCGGTGTCTCTCCCGCACATCTCCCTGTGTCTCGAACCCGGTGTCTCTGGCTCCAGATCTCTCTGGCTGGCTCTCTCCCTGGCTCTCCGGCTTCTCCCGCACGCGCACAGGCCATAAAAGGAAGCCGAGGCGGTGGGCTGGCCCCGCGCCAGGCCGCGGGGGCCGGGGGGGGGGGTGACCCGCGCGCCCAGCTCCCCGCCCCGATCCCCGCCCCGCACGGGCTCCGGCTTCCCGGGCCGGTCCTCCCTCCCGGGGCGCGGCGGGGGGCGCAGGGCGGGCGACAACCCAAAAAGGGCAGGCGCGGGCTCCTTCCTGCAGGAATTCCCAGCGCCGCATACCAGCCCGGGGCTGCCCGCTCCCCCTGACTAAATATGGTGCCGAGCGGCGTCCCGGCGCGGCGGGCGGGGGGGAGGGGGCCCTGCCTCTCGTGGCTGCGACAGCGGCGCGCGGGCACAGCCCCCCGGGCCCGCGCGGGCTCCAGCTACTCCCAGCGGCCAGAGGGTTTGGGGAGAGGGTCAGAGGCGGTGGGAAGACCTCTGCCAGGCTCTGTGCCCTTGGTCCACAACCCCTCCCCTGGTAACCAGATCAGGTGGGGGGGGGCGGCTGTATCAATACCCCCATTTTGCAGGTGAGAAAACTGAGGTCCTAGAGGTGTGCTGAGATCTGCCCAGGCTCTCGCTGGGACTGGAGCCCACCGTTGCCAGGATTCACTTCCAGGGAGATTTTAAAGCGAAATGCCTTCCCAGGGTGAATTGGCTTATGGGCTAAAGACAGGTCTCTGAGGTTAGTGGCCAGTGCCACTTTCTAGCTGTTCCAGCATGGACCAGTCCCTTAAAGGCTCCGTGACTCAGTTTCCCTACCTGGCTGTTGGTAAACAGCCCTTGAGATGATCCATGCAAAATGAACATAATTGTGCTGTTTCCTGGTAGCTGTTATTATTCTCAACCAACTTGAAACCAAGTAGGGTGGCACAGGCCTTGGGCGCGTGATGGTGAGTGAGAGCCTGTCCCTCCTGCAGGGTCCCCGCCACAGGGCTCAGCATCTCAGACCCTCTTGGTCACTTCCTCATGCTTCCAACGTCCGGCTCTCTTGCTTTCTCACCACTGAAAACACGCGAGGGACCGAAATCAGAGTCAAGAACCGCCAGAGTTCTGCTGACTGCACAGCTAGGGGTAAAGATCTTCAGAAGATGATGGATAAGTTGCTTCTCCACATGCCTTTTACTGTCTGCACTGTAAAAGGAGTGGAAATTGTCCCTGCGTTGGCTGGTACGGACAGGGTGCAGGGCAGAGGGTGATGGAAACGGAAGAGTGAAGTTGACCCCCACCTTCCCGTCCTGGAAAGAACCCAGAGCAGGCTGTCAGAATCGAACTTGTTGGCCTCAGAGTAAGAGCAGGTATCTTGACTGGAGGCCTTAACACTGGTACTTCAAAGGGGTTTTGCATTTGACTCCTTAAAGAACTTGTTGGTAAAATTTAAAAAAGAATCCTTATAAGCAATTATTAATAAATGGAGGGTTTTTTTATTAATAAATAAAAAAACACTGAATTTTACTGCATTCTCTTTCCTCTTCCTTATAACAACCCTATGAAGTAGGTACTTTATTTTTTCAAAGATTTTATTTGACAGAGAGAGCACAAGCAGAAGGAGAGAGAGGGAGAAGCAGGCTCCCTGCTGAGCAAGGAGCCTGATGTGGGACTCGATCCCAGGACCCTGGGATCATAACCCCGGGCCGAAGGCAGCCACTTTAACCGACTGAGCCACCCAGGCGTCCCTGAAGTAGTAAAAAAGATTTTTTTTCTTCCCATTTTGCTGTTGACAAACCAGGTTGGTGAATTAAGTAACAAGCCAAGGTAGCATAGCTATCTAGTGCTGGAGCAAGAATTCCAACGCCATATGTCTGATCAAGTCTAGGTTAAGTAGATGGGAGGTTTACACATGATCTGCGAGGCACCAGACTGGAAGCCACGGGACAGTCAGTGAACTGGGACTGGTTCTTCTCAAGGAGGAGGGCAGATGAACAGAATCTTTGCCTCAACTACTTTACTGGGTTGTTAAATATGATGATGCACGTGAGGGCCTTATATAAAGTATTTCATACCTTTCTGGTACATTCTATGAGTGCTCAGGGACAGTATGTGTACATAACAGTCATTCATTCAATATCTGTCCAACGCAGAAGCTCAGATGTTTGAATCTTCAAAAGTGCATTGTAACAATAATGAAGTCAAATGCCTGTTTTATTTCTCATGGCTCAAAAAGCCAGCTATTTTAAGATCAAGGGGGAAAAATACTTTAAAAAAAGTGTTACTTTGAGAGCTGTCCAGTAAATTTCCTTGGCTTGTCTTCTTTGTGAGGTGCTGTGTAATGGGAGTTTCCATGAACTCATGAAACAAGATGGCAAAGGGGAAATTTCTCTCTTGGAGTCTTTCCCTCTTTATCAAATAGCTTTGTATTCGCTTTTGGCTTCAAAAAGCTCCAAAATGTGATTCCCTCCAGTTTTTAATAATATCAAAGATTGGGTCCAAGCATGGTTCACTCCTGTGTGTGCTTCACAATCTAATTATTTAAAAGTGTACCAACATTCAAGTCCTCCAGCCCAAGATTTGCACAGCGCTGTGCCTTCTTGTGAATGAAGGGACATCATTCCTGGCCACAAGCCCAGCTCAGCTCTATCTCTTGCACAAAGGCACTTCTGTTTCACTCATGATGGCTCCACACTTCTCCAGGACAAGACTGCATGGGAGACTGACTGGCAATGCTCTTTCCTTCATCAATTTCCGACTCTGGTGTCTTGGTAACTCCAGATTCTCTACCCTCCATTAGGAAGGGTCCTAAAATTCTCAAAAGTAGTTTTACAGTGTCTTACAAAACGAAACATATTCTAAACATATGAACCAGCAAATCATACTCCTCAGGATTTACCCAAATGAGTTAAAAGCTTACATCCAGGCTAAAGCCTGCACTTGGGATGTTTAAAGCAGCTTTATCCATAATTGCCAAACCTTGGGAGCAACCAAGCGGCTATTCAGCAGGTAAATGCACAATCTGTGGTACACTGAGGTGATGGAATATTCTTTGGTGCTAAAAACAAACAAGCTCTCAAGCCGCGAAAAGACAAGGAGGAATCGTAGGTGCGTATTAACCAAGTGAAAGAAGCCAGGCTGAAAAGACCACATCCTGTAGGATTCCAACTATATGACATTCTGGGAAAGGCAAAACTAAGAAGATAGTTAAAAGATCTGTCGTTGCCAGGGGTTGGGGGGCTGGAGGGATGAATGGGCAGAAGTTTTTTAGGGCAGTGAAAGTACTCTGTGTGGTACTACAATGGTGGATACCTGTCATTATACATTTGTTCAAATGCATAGAATGGACAGCAGCAAATATGAACCCTGATGTAAACTATGGGCTGTGAGTGATAATGATGTGTCCGCGTAGGTCCACCCATTGGAACAAATGTGCCACTCCTTGGGGTGGGGTGCCATGAATTGGGGGAGTGGATAGGAGGTGTATAGAAACTCTGTACACTACACTCAACTGCTGTGAACCTAAGGTTGTTCTCAAAAATAAAGTATATTTTGGGGGGGGGGGGCGTATGGGTGGCTCAATCAGTTAAACGTTTGCCTTCGGCTCAGGTCATGATCCCGGGGTCCTGGTATCGAGTCCTGCATCAGACTCCCTGCTCGGCGGGAAGCCTGCTTCTCCCTCTGCCTGCCACTCCCCCCTGCTTGTGCTCTGTCCAATGAATAAATGAAATCTTTTAAAAAATTAAAAATAAAAAAATGAACAAAGACCATACAATCTTTGCAGAATGGTTAACAAAAATCAAATAACAAGTGGCTGGGAAGCATTGTCCCAAATGCCTTTAAAGGCATATTCTCACAATGTTAATCCTTCATGTACACTTGGCTTTAGGTTGAAAGAACATATCAAATTTTATATAATCATACAGGCATGTGAGTCATATACAATTGCATTCTTGCACATAATTATAAAGCTATCAGTTTACTCTGTGCAAACATATATGCTAAGCTAAATTTATCATCTTCAAACACCACCTCTGCTCCTGCTGGGTTTTTAGACTGCCCAGGTTTTATATTTCCACTTTTCCTAAACCCCTCTTCAGTCTCAACTCACATCCTATTTTTCTGTAAATCCAAATCTTCTCCTGAAACTTCTCCCTATTTCTGGAGGAGAACTTCTCCCAACAACCCCATGAAAACCACCAGCAATGATGTACTGATGTAGTCTATGGGGTATGCGAATAGTTCAATGGGTCCTCTGTATTTCTATTTGTCTTGTCTTTCCCTCAGTTTTTTTTTAAATGTCTCCGCCCGTGCACCTTTTTCAACAACTGGCTTATAAATTAATTGACACCGTTCAAAAATCCTGAGTATAAAAATTTCTAGAGCAGATTTTTCAACCGAAGTTCCTTTGAGGAAATCACAAAAATCTCAGAGTTTTGAAAATAGGTGGTTTTTCTCTTTTGCAAATAGAAAAACATACTAGTAAATATGCTTTTTCGAACCCCTAAATGGCCCCCCAGGTTACAATACTGTCCCCCTGGAGACTGACACCATCAGCCTCCTGGATGAAGACTAAGTGTTGCAGGGTGATGTGGCTGATGCCAGGGGCCCACACACGAGGAAATTTCCCCTCCCTCCACCTCACACTATACCCTCCAACAACTAGGCCGCTGGAGATCCTGAAGGCCAGCCTGGGGAACCACCTCCAACATTCTTCCTGTCCTGGTGCCCACCTCTTGGTGACAGAAGAGTCACAGGAACACCCTTTGCACAAAGGCGAGTTGATTGTTTTTTATTAAGTAATACATTGAAAGTATAAAAGTTGCCTAGGTACAAAGAAGTTATAGAATAATGCATACAAACGCGCTATGGACTACACGTGACAATTCTGTTTAGCAGTAACCAAAATTATAAACTCCAGCATTTCTTCTTAATCTAGTCCTGCATGATTGTAATTTCTGAGGTAAACTTAGCATCCACTGCCAACATCCTTGGATGTAAACCAAGTCCTCTGAGAAGAATAGATACTTATATTCCCACATACAATACAGTGGAATTTGTAATTGTTATCAGATACTACAGATTTGATTTGAAAAATGGAAATGAGCCCTTATAGTACTTCTACGCCTCTTCTGTAATCCTAGCTCATCAACAGGGCCTCTCAAACTCCTCTCACTTGTAAAGTATGGCTTAAGGGGATTTCTTTAATAATTTTCTGCATTCAGATAAAAATTCTTCGTTCATCTGTAAGGACTGAACACTGACCAACACCAAATATACACTCAAAAGTTTCAAAAGACAGAACAGAATCGACACTCTGAAGAGAATGCCAATTCTGCCACCTACAGCCCTTCTCACTTGCCCTGTGGAAAACATTCAAGTTAAATGCTGTCGGTATGTGGGCACCTGGGCAGTTTTGCCGAATACACTTTCTGACTTCTGCCGATCACATGCTATTATCATGGCGGCTGTCAGTGCCATCTGTCTGGAGACTCCACTTATAAAAATGTCTTAGTAAATATCAAAATAGCATTTTAGAGATAGCACAGGAAGAGCTCTTACCATTTTTCTATCCCAAGAATAAAAAACTGACATACAGTGAGTCCAGAAAAGTAGGGACTGGCTCTTTTAGAGCTCACCTTGTGATTGCACAACTGAAGGCCACATGGAGGTTAAACAATGCCATCTTTTAAGAGGTGCTTTCTGGTATTTCTCCTAAAGCCTGTCTCTTCATGCTTATTCCACATTCTTTATATAATAAAATAAACTCTTTGTTTTACTTACAGCAAAATTAAAAGAATTATTTCCCCCTCTACCTTTTAATTAAATCTTCCAGTAGAAGCCAAAATGGTCTAAGGAAAGAAAAAGCACTTGTTACCTAGTTTAAAAGTTCAAATTTAGATAGAAATTCAGATATTCAAACTGAATTATAAATGGTTATCTGAAAAACCGCTATCATAAACAAAAAACCAAACTTCACAGGAATTTTTTCTGGCTTTAATGTTCTTTTAAGTGTTTTTTAGAAACGTAAATGAATTTTTCTACAAATCCACATAATTCCAGCCTGAAGGAAATTTAATTACTGTAGCCTTGTTAAAGAGCAGAGCATATGGCTATAAAGACCTGAATTTTCTTTTTTTTTTCAAGAATAACGGGGTACTAAAAAATCCTTCCAGTTCTCACAAATTTAAAAACCTTTCAAATACTTTCTAAAAACAATGTATTTTCTTTCGAATCAAATCCAGGAAGCTAGACGACAGAGTTAGCCTTTATTCACAATTGTAGCCAAACAGGAGGGGCTAAATGTTTTGCAGAAACTCAAATTTCTACAAAGGACAAATATTAGTGATGTATGTTGGTTATGTTGAGAGAATAAATATGTCAATTTTAAGACTAAAGATGCCCCAAATGGAAATGTCATCTCTTCACCGCTTGAGAAACAAGAGGCTCTTCAATGTTAGCACTATTCCCCTTCTCCGTTCTTAGGTGGTCATCTGAAACGAACAGAAACCAATGTCAGTACTTATCCCAAGTCAAAGTAGGCAGTGTGAAGACATATCCACACGTATTTTTGGATGTTATGTATTTAATATTGTAGGAGTTCTTTAGATGGCTTAGAACAATGAAATAAACTCACCATTTTAAAAACATTATTGAAGTCAGAAACATTTAGTACTAAAGACTCACTGTCAAGTGTTTTTAAGGGAACAGAGAGCACTGTGGAGTAAACCCATGTGTAAGGAGCAGTTACAAACTTCTCTTACATGATATGTAAGGAATGGAATGAGAGAAAGGACAGGTTATTCAATTAACATTTTGAGGGATGCCAAAGTTCTTCAACTAAAAACAAAAAACAAACCACCTTCAAACAGACATGCCTCTCAGCAGCACCCTCTTGTGGCAAGAAAAAACTAGCAGAGTTTACATTTTCCTACCCACATCAGAAAATACCCAAGAAGTTGTAGAAAATGTTCTTCAGCCGAAGACACAACAATAAAGCTCCGTGAGAGTTCAGAAGAGCCCAGAGCCCCTGTGACCACCCTCTGTGCTCTGGTAATAGAAGGGGTCCTGTCACTTCTGTTGAATTTTTGTCATGGGGAGAAAGGGCTGGAAGGCAGAAGTGCCTTGGATTAAAAGAACCTGAAGAGACTTAATATCCAAATGCAACAAAAATGCAAGGCGAAGACTAAATTCTGAGAAATTCTGTGAAAAACGGAAAATATTCCCTAGACACTTTTACACCGGAAAAACCCATTTTTGTGATTTTGATGACAGGAGAAAAAATATACAAATTTAGACAGTTGTTAGAAACATGCAATTTTAGCACCAAAAACACACCCTGGATTTTCTAATTCTAAAGACAATCTGATTCTAACCCAGGCCTGCTAGTCCCTGGCAGCTGATCGTCCTCATAAAGACTAGAGACTGCAGGTCTGGATCACGGAGGACTATCTCCCTCGTTTTTAGGCAGCTTTGCTGGACAGAACAAAATTAACAATATCCTAAGGCCACAGACATTTTAGGTTTTCTAGAAAAGCATTACTAAGAAGTATGTGATGCATGCACTTCACAGATGTGCAATAAAGTTACACCACCAATGATTTTCTGTTAAAAAATATCTGGCCTTTTACTTATAGCTAGAACCTACTTTGCCTGCAGTCTCTCAAGCGCTGACCTCAGCAGCCCTAATGAACTGGTTACCATCCCAGAGGCAAGTGCGTCTACAACTGTTCATTTTTTCCAGCTCTTTGGGAGCTGTGATAAAAGTGCTTTGGTGTTGGCATACTTTAGACTCATGTTCACACACATGACAATTTCATCTTAGTGTGTTATATCTCAGTTAGATGAGCTTCTGTAGAGATCAGGTACTGTAACATAATATTTTACTATTTTCATAACCTTTCCATGTTGTCAAAACAAAACATGTTTCTATCAAACAGTAAGCTAGGACTGAGAAAGATGCTGAAAGTAAATGCTGATGTGTGTTACTGGGACAAAATGCCATTTGTGGCCACTAATTCTTCGCAAATCATTGCACAAGGAGTTCACCATTATCAAGAAAAGTTTTGATGGTCAAGAAAAACAGTTTGCAAAATCCCTGTTCTTCTATTAGTTCAGCCGTCCTCCTCACCTCTGAGCCTGCCAGGGAACTTCCCACAGAACACACACCCAAAGCTCTACTGACTTGAACTGGATTCTCTGATGTCTCTGGAGGCCCCAAACCAACTAGTACACCCTCTCTCTCTCTCTCTCCCACGCACACACACACCCACGCTCCAGCCCTCCCACCTCCATGGTATAAAGCTACCACTAGCTATTCTACCCACATCTCAAAAAAGAACAGAACTGGGTTAAGAAATACTCTGTTACTTGTAACTTGGTTATTAGTCATTAGCCATGAATGAGATGGATTATAAAAAGCTTACAAGCCATGCAATGACATGGATGGAGCTAGAGAGTATCATGCCAAGAGAAATAAGTCAGAGAAAGACAAACACCAATGACGTCACTCGTATGTGGAATTTAAGAAACAAAACAAATGAACAAAGGAAGAAAAAGACAAACCAAAAAAACACTCTTAACTCTAGAGAACACACTAATGGATTACCGGGCGATAGGGATTAAGGAGGGCACTTGTGATGAGCACTGGGGTGTTGTATGGAGGTGCTGAATTGCTATATTGTACACCTGAAAATAAATAAATAAAAATAAAAGGCTTGTAAGCCAGAAAAGTGATTTCTCAAGAAGTTATTTTTGCTTATGGGACTGAAACTACCCATGTCATTGGTTTGCTGTGTTACCAGGTGTCCACGTGTACAATATCCCCTGGTGGCAATTAAATAGAGAAACTGGTATTAGCATATATTCTTGGTAGGTAAAGCCTTTTTGGAGGGGAATTAGACAATATCTACTACATTTTTTTATATGCGTATGCTTTGAGCCAGCAACTGTACTTCTAGGCATCCACATAAGAGAAATACTTATGTGGACAAAGAAGTAATTCTATATTGCAATACGGTAAACTTAAAAACATAAAAGTTCATCAGTAAGGGATGATTAGCAATACTATGCAATACTACACAAAGTTAAGAATGAGGTCGAAGTAGATCTACACATATTGACTAGACAAGGGAAAACAAAGCACATGTCAGGATAACATGTCGAATAGCAGTACATATAAATTTACATGCACAGAAATGAGTCCGGACGGAGACTCCCCCCAAGCTGCTAATAGGGACCTTCCACGGAAGGGAGGGAGATTGGGGAGTTAGGGAGAGACAAGGGGGAAGAGATTCAAGAGAATTTTACGTTGTATTATATGAATGCTTAGAGATTTGTCTACTTGTGTGTTTTGTTTTGCTTTTAAAGTACTTGTCAAATAGTAGCCACTAATGACAGTTCCTTATCAAGCCCTGAAAAGGGAACTAGGAAAACTTCTTCACATTCTTTAAGTGTAAAAGTGTACAGGAATGGCACTCGGAGATGCTGATTCTGCTAAAAATGATCAGCTGTAGGCTTTAGAGGAGTCACTTAACCTCTCAGTACTGGTTTTCTCAACTGTAAGGTAAGGAGGTGGGGGTGATTTCTTTTTCAATGGTCCATTAGCTCAGCGTTCTAAGATACATAGATGAGTAACTCTTAGCGAAATCAGAAATAACCCACAAAAGAAGTAACCTTGCTTCACAAATACATCGTTTTCAGATCTTAGGAGACACAGCAAATATTTAACGGAATCAATACTGCTCATAGCAGTTTATGAAAACTACGAAAGACAATTTGTATTTTAGATGTTTCCTAGAAGTTTATTTCAACATTCAAGATTTAGATTTGTTCTGCTTATCTGCTGCCTGAGCCCCACCTCTGACTGTCCTTAGAAAGGGATCAACTCTACCAAGGTTGGAAAGAAGGAGCTATAAACCATTCAGTTCAAATTATCAAATTGAGATCCTATTGCTGATGTGATCACAGCAACTGAAAGCTCATTTAAAGAGTGAACATTCTGAAAGAAATAGGGGCTATTCTCCTAGGAATATGTTATCTGTAGGTAACTATCAGTCTTCCACCAACAGTATCCAAAAAATGCAAAGAATATAGACAGCTGTGACTTCTCTATCTGTATTCAGCAATCTTGCCTTTCTTCAGTCTTGGGGGGGGAAAAAGTGATGATTTGATAAAAATCTCTTTACCGAGTATGCCAATGATCTAAGCTGTCCCAAAGAATACAAATCTATGTGAAAATCAGGTTTTTCCATACTTTGGCATAGAAACAATATCTAAGAATTTTGTCCAGTCATTCCCCCATCCCCTCAAGATTCTCTTTCCAAAAACCATTTTGTTTTTTGGAGGATAAGTAACACAGACTCAAACTATATTAGATGTAAATAGAATTAAACTGTGACTCAAAAGCTCAGGAAAAACTATTCCTGAGAGAAAAAAAAATTTTTTTTAAAGAATTTATCTGAGAGAGAGCATAAGCAGGGGGAGAAGCAAACAGAGGCAGAGGGAGAAGCAGGCTCCCACCTGAGCAGAGAGACCCACATGGGGCTCAATCCCAGCACCCTGAGATCATGATCTGAGCCAAACGCACCCGCTTAACCGACTGAGCCACCCAAGTGACCTGAGAGAAAAATATTTAAGAAGAAAAAAAATACTCAGAGCACCTGGCTGGCTCAGTCAGTGGAGCATGTGACTCTTGCCCTTCGGGTTGTGAGTTTTATTTTTAAAAATAAAATCTTTAAAAAAAATAAAAAAAACAAAAGAAGAAAAAATACTTGTTGACAGCTAAATGGTGAATCCCAGGAAATTCATACCCCTTTGCTTTCTTCTGCTAGGTTGTTCGCCAAGATTTGGGTTTGGAGGCTGAAGTGAAGACCGTCTCAGAAATGGATTTTGGAGGTCATCCTTAGTTCCATGCAAGAAATGAGCTAAAATTCCATATAAAAGAGGTCTGTAGCAGGAAGAAAAGCAAAATCAATTAAAATTGCAGATAGAGGAAAAGCTTAAAATCTCTCTTCTTTAAGGCAGCCTCTGCCACCAAAAGGGCCAGGTAATTCTCCAGACTTAAAAGAAAGAAGATGCACAGTTACTATCCAAATTGCAAACTATTCATGCTTTTCTAAATCTAAGAGTACCACCTAACTCGAAAGACAATTTAAAAACCCAGAGAACCCATGTTAACAACTTAAACATCATCTAAACTGACATACAAGGTCAATCCATCAATACACAGGAATTTCGCCTTTCAAGTCCAGTTGAGATTTCCCAGTGCCTAGCACTGTCTGATATATAGTAGGTATTCAGTAAACACTTACTGGGTGAATAAATCCTTACCTAAAGAAGGTCATACGGCCTGAAAGCCAGACTGCCTGGGTTCAAATCCTGGCTTCACCACTTGACCTCAACAAGATTCTTAATGTCCCCACCCTGATATATGTTTCTTCCTCTATAAATGAAGGTAAGTGTAGCCCTTACCTCCTAGGGTTGCTGTGGACTAAATGAGTTAATAAATATCAAGTGTTTAGAACTGTGCCTGGCACATATTAAATGGTATATAAATGTTAGCTATTCAGGAGTTGAGTAAGAATTAACATTTAATAAGCTATTTTTAGGGAGGGAGGGCAGGTTAAAAAAAGGCTATTTTTACAGTTTACAAAACACTCTAACCTCTTTCCATTTTTTTTTTTAAGATTTTACTTATTTATTTGACAGAGAGAGACACAGTGAGAGAGGGAACACAAGCAGGGGGAGAGGGAGAGGGAGAAGCAGGCTTCCCGTGGAGCAGGGAGCCCGATGTGGGGCTCGATTCCAGGACCCTGGGATCATGACCTGAGCCGAAGGCAGATGTTTAACAACTGAGCCACCCAGGTGCCCCAAACCTCTCTCCATTTTATCCTCTCCTTGTGAATGTCCTAATCATCATCCCACCACAGCTCAGGGAAGATTTGCTGGAGACTCCTCTGTAAGTAAACAAACTTTCTACTTGAATTCCAAGTCCCATACTCTTTTCATGACAATAATCTGCCTGGTGATTTCTATTAGTATCCCAGCACAAAGGGAAGCTACTTGCTGACAATGAAGAGAGGTCCAACAGAAATGTTTTCTTCGGGGCCCCTGGGTGGTTCAGTTGGTTAAGCGACTGCCTTCGGCTCAGGTCATGATCCTGGAGTCCCGGGATCGAGTCCCGCATCGGGCTCCCTGCTCAGCGGGGAGTCTGCTTCTCTGACCCTCTTCCCTCTCGTGCTCTCTATCTCTCATTCTCTCTCTCTCAAATAAATAAAATCTTAAAAAAAAAGTTTTCTTCGTTTCTAATCTCATCATTGAAAATACTATTTCACTGATTTTTTGAGCTATCTATTTATTAGCTAATGTGATAGTTTAAAGTATGATATTCCTTTCCCTTCAAAAGGTGGAGCCTAACTGCCCTCCCCTGGAGTGTGGCCTCAAGTCACTTCTATGGACCAAGTAAGGTATTAAGTGACAGCACTGTGCAACTTCCAAGACTAGGTCATAAAGCACTGTGTACCATGGCTGCCTCCGTGCCTTCTCTCTGGCCACTCTCTCTGGGGGAAGTCAGCTGCCACGTCATGAGGACACTCGAGTTGTCCAAGGGAAAGGTAGCCATGGAAGGAATGGGGGCCTGTTGCAAGCGGCCATGTGAGCGAGCCACACAGAAGGGGATCCTGCAGCCCCAGGGAAGCCCTTCAGATGAGGACCTCCCTGGCTCCATTGTAACTGGAATCTCCAGCTCTCTGCTGAGCACCAGAACTGCCCATAGATTCCTGACCAACCACAGATAATAAATGATTGTTGTTTCAAGCCACCAAATCGTGGGGTGCTCAGTTATGCAGCAGTAATTAACTGCTTGCATACCAACTTCTTCAGACCATGACGAGAGCAGGAAAGTAAGTTTCTCTATTTAAGATGCCTCAACTCTTAGGAAAGCAATATATCTTTTATTGTAACTCTTAGATCCAAGAATGTGAGATCCATCTTTTGTTTAATTTTAAACCCACGTTTCCCAAAGAGCTAACTGGTTCAAGATTTTGTTTTTAAAGATTTTATTTACTTATTTGAGAGACAGAGTGAGAGAGAGAGAGCCCAAGAGGGTGTAGGGTCAGAGGGAGAAGCAGACTCCCTGCTGAGCAGGGAGCCCGATGTGGGACTCGATCCCGGGACTCCGGGATCATGACCTGAGCCGTGTCTTAACCAACTGAGCCACCCAGGTGCCCTGGTTCAGGCTTTTTAAGTTTGAACAATTTTGTTCTTAAATTAACATCAATGAAGTTTTAAGATTTAAAATTTTTAAGATTCAGATATTTTTAAATGTTATTAGAAAATTTAAAGCTTGCATATTTAATCCACAAATTCATGGATGTTAAGATTTTTTTTAAATAAAAGTTAAAAAAAAATTTTTTTTAAGTTCAGCCTTACCATAACCTTATTTGCAATGGTGAAACACAAAAACTCTGAAAACTAGTTTTCTTCATAAATTTGGCACAAACTCATTTGGTGTCACGGCTTGACCTAACTAAGGTTATTCTAGACTTTATCCTACTTTGTGTGAAAATTCTTGTTTTCCTGAAAAATAATGTATTTATGGAGAGGCACATTATGTTCACACTGCCACATGTATCTAGTATTTGCTTTACTTGCTGTATTACTTCTTTCCCCCCAGCTTTATTGAGGTGTAATTGAGAAATAAAATTGTAAGGTAAGTTGGGAAAGAAAGTGACTAGAGACAGAAAAGCAGACAGATGGCTTCTGAACAGTGCAGAGGCAGAAGTCACGGAGCCTGCAGAGTGGCGGGCAGAGAGAGGGAAGGAGCCACAACTGTACATGGACTCTGAATTTAAGACCCAAATGGCTATATGAGGAACCTACAAGGGGGGTTTAAGGAGGTGAAAATAACACATTTAATTTTTGGACACACTGAGTTTGAGATGCCAGCAGAAATGTGGGTCCATAATTCAGAGGATCTGTCAGATTTAAAGCAGAGTCACCAGCATGGAGGCATCATTAATGACTCAGGCATACTTAGAAAAGTGGGTAAGGGGACAGGAAGAAAAGTTTTGTTAAGGACAAAACTTGGAGAGTGCTCATGATTTAAAGGAACCCTAAAGGAGCCAATGAAGAAACTGAGAACACTATTACGGATAGAAAAACCTAGACGGTAAAGGTTCATAAAAGACAAATGACAAAAAATGTTTTAAGGGAGAATAGTCACTATTACAAAATGCTACAGAAACTCAAGTAAAACTGAGCTTCTCAAATTGGAAATACAGATATACAACCACTCTTGGTGCCAGGGACTTGGGACAAAGTACAGGATAAAAGTGGCATATGATCCTGGAACATTAATTGTACAAAGATTTGTGGGAGAGTTCAATGTAATTGCTTTATCAGTTATAACATTTTTATAGTAAAACAGACAATTATACCATGAAGCAGAAAGAAAAAAATTCAAGAAATTTTTAGAAAGGGAAAACGCTCAAGACTTCAAAGAAATTTCTTGCCCGGGGGGGAAGGGGAGGCCCTGCTTTGAGTGTCCTAGGTACAGTAACTTTTTTTTTTTTTTTTTTTTTTTTTTGCCATTCAGGGATCCTCTGGAAAAAGTTTAAGCAACTTCAAGGTAGGAATAGAACTAAGAAACTACTAGAAAGTGGTCACCCTTCTTTTCAAAAGCATAGTTTCAGTATAAATGGTGAAGGAAGAACTTAATATGCAAAGAAGGCAAAAGAGGGGAGAGTAACAAAATGAATGCAGATGGTTGGTTTTCACTAAGTTCGGTGGTAAAAACAAGTTCACTGGTTTTTTTGGGAGATCTGAGTATATTCCTAAGTTGAAGTGAAGGAAATAATCAGAAGGAAGAGTTCATCATGAGGAAGAAAACAACTGATAGATTAAAGCCTCAGAAGAAAAAAAAGGGATGCATCAAGAAGCCAAGAAGAGTGACCCTTAGTGAGACAGATGCTCAGTCCTCTGAAACCACAGGAATTTTAGCTCCAGAGAGCAGAGGCCTTGTCCTGTTTATTGCTACACACCTTGGATTTGGTGCAGAGTCAGACGCATACTCGAACCAAATAAATACCTGCTTAATTAAAATGAAATAAAACCACTGTGTGATTACAATTCCAATACAATATCCAAAAACTTACTTTTAAGTTTTTATTTTTAAAAAACTTTACTTAAAAAAACTTCTTACATTGTATTATCCTTTGATTCTTCAAATGCATTTAGTTCACGGATGAGAAACTGTCTGTCCAATGGAACTACAGGTTGACCAGATTCTAGAGGAAAAATCATGAGTCTTTATTCACCTAAAAAACACATCTGATTTTGGTAAGAACCACTTACCAGTTATACAGACTTTTCAGATTTTGGAAGAGTGATGATGGCACATACCAAGGCAGATCCAACTGTATGTGACTTTATGATTTTCAAAATATCATTTTATGTGTAACTTAACAGAGCTTAACATAAATTCATTTTTTAAATCCCCCAATTTTTGCTTGGGAACATATGTTCCTGCATACTGGACTTCAAAAGTCTTTTTTTGAAGAAGGCTACAAATTAAACACAGGACAGTAACAATATCCATTTGGTGGCAATAACTCTATAAGTAAAATTAACCCAAATATCAAGTGCTGGCAAGGATAAAGGGCAACTGTATACTCTCATCCTTTGCTTTGCTAGTAGGACAGCAAAATGGTACAACCACTTTGGAAAACAGTTGAGCCATTTCTTACAAAGGTAAGCATGTACTTAGCACACATAACCTAAAATCCCACTCTTAGTTCTTTACCCAAGAGAAGTGAAAGCTTACATTCACACAAAAACTTGTGGTGAATGTTTATGGTAGCTTGATTGATAATTGCCAAAAAATATACACAACTGGCCTTCAAATGATAATAGATAAATTGGCACAGCAATACAAAGGAATGCTGATATTCGGGGCGGGGGGGGGGGGAACCAACACAGCTGAATGTGAAATGCATTATGCTAAGTGAAAGGAAACAGACTCAAAAGGCTACATCCTGAATAGGCTCATTTATATGACATTCTGGAAAAGGCAAATGACAGGTACAGAAAAAAACAGATCAGTGGTTGTTAGGGGTTGGGGTAGGTGAAGAAGTTGACTAAAACAGGGCACAGAGACTGTTTTGAGGTGATAAAAATATTCTCTGTAGTGATTGTAACTGAGGTGGTAGTTACACAACTGTATGCATTTGGCAAAATCCATAGAACTGTACACTAAAAAAGGTATATTGCATTGTTAATTATACCTCAGTTTTTTAAAAAAGCCAAGACACTTAACATGAAATTTGACTATTGTGACTACATTTCATTCTAGGGAAGCCCAGGTCCAAGACTTAATTCATTATATTTTCATAATTTTCTTCTTTTCTGAGTGTTAATAGTATTATATAGCCATCTATAACAGACTGAGGAAAGTGGAGGCTGATTCTGAAGATCCTTAAAGCACTAAAACTCACCAGTCTTATTCAGTTAAGATATGTGCTTAACATTAAATACAAGATATAGAATGTTAATTTAAAAAAATCTATTAAATGGAAAAGTTCCAACATCACCAAGAATTCATTCTCTCTTCCAAAATCTACTTCATGGTCTCTTTTTTTTTGATGAGGCATGAAATAGTCTTAAAGCACAGATTAAACCTTAAACAAAGCAATCCTTCCAATCTCATTTCTCCCCCAAGCCCAGAGGAAAGTCTATCCTGACTGATGTGCATTCTTTTCAGTTACTTACTTACTTTCTTCAGAAATAAAATATGAGATAAATATCTCTTTAACGGCCCACCTCCTCCCCCCAACAGCACTTCTCTCCCTTCTATCATTATAGTGAGTTTGGAGTTTACCTTCCCAATCCTTTTTAAGTGGGTTCCGGGCCAAGCGCAGAGCCCAACTCGGGGCTCAAACCTGAGGCCCTGAGATCAAGACCTGAGCTGAGATCAAGAGTCGTATGCTTAACTGACTGAGCCTCTGAAACTCTATTTTTAAAGCATCTACACAGAATAAGGCTGTCAGCAAACAAAATGTAAACAACCTTTTATTTAGTATCAGGAAATACAGATGATTTTTCAAAGTATGCACCTAGTTTAAGTGTTCAGGTCTTTATTTTCCCCTACAATACAATAAGCCCCATGAGAACGTATTCAAGCTATGGAAAGAGCCCAGGAGATTTTTATGTCCCAGTCACCTGGATGACACCGTGTGGTAATGGAATTAGATTTTCAGCCCAAATATTTTCTGAGAAGTGAGGGAAGGGAAAAAGCAGATTTTGTTTCAGGCAAGTAGTAATAACCTCTTACCTGATATGAGGACAGATGCTGTGTACTTATATTTGTTGAATTCCAGATACTCCCGAATTAGTTCATTAATTAGAAGGTTTTCATGAGACAATGATGGTCGGGGTTCGCTTTCATCATCTAGGGCATTGAAAACTTCAGCTCGGATCCTTGCTTTTAAATGCCCTAATACTCCCCTTTTCTCCAACGTGTCCTTTAAAACTGTTAAACATAAAACATTAATGCTTCAATTACAGATTAAATTTGGTCATTCTTAGGCATACTTTGAAGAAAAATGTTTAAAAGGTAAATGGCCTAGTAGCCATTGTTTTGATCTAAACAATGTGCTGAATGGAAGTTATCCGATTGGCATCATGTTTGTAATAAAAAATAAAGTTCTCAAGTTGCAATGATTTGCTGTTTTAATATATTTAAGCAAATTCAAGTTTCTCTTTCCAGCATCATCACCGTGGGAAGCTATAGTCTGGTATGCATCTTCAGGGAGGGAGGAAAAGGGAGCGCAGAATTATCCTTGGCTTACTGCGGCCTGAAATTTCCCCTGTCTCCTATATTTTCAAGAGCATTTATCACTGCAGATAGGTCTGTGTCACTAAAAACCTCTGGTCTAGAAAGATGGTTAAAGATAACAAGTACATCCCATAAAAGGAAGGAACTTGTTGTCTTTTGATAAAAACCTGATACCCAGATAACCCTTGGGGAATGGCCCATTCTGAACAAAAAGGTGCTTCTTTGGATTTTGTTTTTTTAAAGACACTTATGAGTTAACTTCCTAAAAAAAACCAGTAGGATTTTGAAATTGTAAGCCTAGACAGAAATCTAACACGTAGCTATATCATTGCCATCTTAAAGAATCAGGGATATATATGCTGAATGTAATCTAACTTGTTCTTGATGAGCAAAGGTCCTATTACAATATCGGTTGTGATAATGAGATTTAGCCATAAATACCAGCATGGACACTGAGGGGCACAGAGCTGAATTGGCATCATTCCTTGCAGTGGTCTGGAACCTCTTTTTTCACATTGTCCCTAATGGCTAAATAACAAACCCAGACAATCAACACATCTCACCCACAGTGCCTAGAACATAGTAAGAGCTCAATAAATGCTACCTGGGAGCATTATAATACAGTGCTGAATACTATTGGTATAATAAACATAGTTTAATACTGTACTGTGCCCTGCCAAAGGCACCAAATAACTACACCAAAATAAAGAAAAATTAATAAATGGAGCCCAAGGAGCTTATCCATGTAGGCATAAACATAAAATCCCTTTAAGCTTTAAGATACACCAACAAAAACCTGGGTGATATGATTACAGAGACACAGTGCAGACTAAACTTTAACCTTTCTCGCCCCTTGTTTTTAAATCATCCCCTCAACCTTTTTGGCAGGTATGCAAGTACCGTTATCACCCAATCAGACTTTGTAACAGGCCCATAAAAGGAAGGTCCAGCCTTATCATATTCTTGGGATCATAACCAAACCCCGGTTCTCTAACTCCATCTTTGGAAATTAGATGGAAGAGATTTGTTTCCCTGGCCAGGATCCTGTCCCAAATACTCTGAATTAGCACACAGTACAGCCTCAAACTCAGCAGAGAAGTGAGAATTAATGAAGCTGGAGTTAGGAAGCCTATCCTTTCTCATCACCAGCTCACGCCTCAGCTGCCGTCTCCAACATAATGAGTTCTACCTCTTAAAGGCAGAACCAAGTGAGGTGGAAAAATGTGAAAATGTTTTAATAAGGTAAAACCCCAGGGGCACCTGGATGGCTCTGTGGGTTAAGGACTGACTCCTGATTTTGGCTCGGCACCAGGCTCCAGAGTGGGCATGGAGCCAACTCAAGATTCTCTTTCTCCCTCCACCCCTCCCCAATTATCCCAAGGTGTGTGTAGGGGGGTAAAAGCCCATACAATGTAGGATAATTGAGCGGGAAATCCATTTTCTCTGAACACAAAGCATATTCAGAACTGGGGAATGCAGAAAAAACAAAGGGATACATCTGCGTAGGACATTCCTAATCCCCAGTTCTATTTTCTTTTCAGGTTCCATACCATTTTGCCCTTCCTTTAAACAATCTGTACCGTAAAAAAGAAAAAAAAATACCTAATAATTTCTTCAGAAAGAAGTTCTTAACCTGGCCTAATATCCCAAAGTATCTTTAAACCCTCTGAGGCTGATGCAGTATTACATGTATTCTGTATTTCATGCAGGGAGGGTGCTCAGATTCACCTGAAAGTCTGTTCTTGTGGATAAAGGCATGCCTTTTTTATGACTGTTCATCATCAGCCCAGTGCCCCAAATACACATTTGTATCAATGTTTACTGAATCCTATTCTCAAAGGGATTCAACCCTTCTCTGTCAGATCTTTAAGAATTACTGATTTAGAGTGCAAGGTCCCTGAAAACTGGAACTGGTTTCATTAAGCAGGTAGCAGTATCACCCTGCGATTAAGACCCGGGGTTCAGGTGCAGCATATCCAGGTTCTCACGCACTGCCTCCTTCTAGCTAAGTTACTTTGGGCGAGCTATTTCACCTCTCTGCATCTCAATTTCCCAATCTATGAAATGGGGCATAAAGTTGTCACAAAGACTATTAGGTGACACAGGGGCTGGGCAGTGTCTGACATTTAAGGCTCACTTGCAACTATGAACACTATTATTTGCCTGGATATCTCCGTCAAAACCACCGGGCACAAGCGTTACCCGTCTGACTCGCACCTTTTGTGGAGCTGAGTGAAAAACACAGGAGAATGGCCAAGCCAGGAAAACTTTTCTACCTCCAGGTTTTCCCAATGGAGATCGGGACCTACCCTACAGGTTACAAGGATTCCGTAAAACAAGTAAGCAAATGGTTTAGGGGTTGCACCTAACCCCAATAATGGATGTGGGTACAGTAATCATCAGTCCCAAACGAAAGCTGCGGCCCAAAGCCTCGGCTCGAGCGGGGTCCGACAAATGCGCCAGAGGCCCAAAGTGCAGGACTATAGCCCTCTCAGGACCCTGCGGGTCCTGCAGCTCCTCTTCCAGCTCACAGCTGATTCCAAAACTGCCCCTGTGCGACCGCTTCCCTCACCCAGGGCCCCGGCGAAGCGGCCGCCACACCAGCCGGACGCTCTGCAAGCCCTGACGCCTCAGAACGACCCCGAAAAAGGCTGGTTCTGTGTTCCGCGCGCCCTCCTTTCGTTGCATCCTTTTCACAGGCGGAAGGCCAAACGCCTCTCACCCGGAAAACTTCCCACTCGCACTCACCAGCCTTCAGCTCGGCGACAGTGGCCATTTTTCAACCGCCGTCAGGGGCGCGCCTCGCCTTGCGCACGCGCAACCCCGCCCCGCTATGCGGCGTGGTCTATAGCCAATAGGCGTGCCTCTCTCGCGGTGCTCGGTCCCGCCCCTTTCAGTTTTCGCTCTCCCGGGTTGGGTGGGTGGTGACTGTCCGGAGGGACCTCACCAATCAGCGAGCTCTCTAGGTGCTGAGGGAGGAGGGGGGAGGAACCCGGACTGAAACAGGTTAGAGCCCTCACCTGTGGGTGCTGCCGTCAAGTTAGTGCTGAACTTTAGCTTATTAATCCTTCCATGATCTGCCCACTGCTCATCTCTGCAGCCTCAGGGATTAATTGTCAATGGTTACCATTTATTAAGCCTGTGGTTCTCAAACTTGAGCGTGCCTGGAAGACTTGTTAAAACAGATCGCGGAGCCCCACCGCTGGGGTTTCCGATTTAGTCCATCCAGGGTGCGATCCGAGAACTACATTTCTAACAAGTTCTCCGGGGATGCTGGAGCTGCTGTTCTGGGGATCACACCTTGACGCTGTCAAGTGACACTGGCTCATTGATTTCTCTATTATGTCTCCCATGTTACAGAGGAGGAAACTGAGTCTTTGATGACTGATGAGGCTTAACCAAGATCATCAACAGATGGTGGAAGCGAGATTTGAATCCAGGCAGGCCTCTTAATAATGGGTAGTCTAATGGCACTTAATAATGGGTAGTGCATCTAAGGAGTCCAAAAGCTATTTGTGAATAATTGAGGAACGAATAAACTCTACCATCCCAAGGAAATGAAGAAGAAAGAACATGGGAATAATCTAACCAAAGCTGAGTGTGAGATTCTGTGCTTCCAATCAGGAATCCAGTTCGGTGATTCCTTCCATTGCCAGGAAGACCAACACCTGTGACCTAGATGCTAGAACAGTGCCCTTTAAACTGCTAGTCTTAACCCATAGTAGGTTTTGAACTCTATTTATCAGTGGCTCCCAATGAATGTATTTTCAATGAAATGGGACGGAACAAATAGAAAACAAGTACTGGGGTTTGGAGGGGAACTTTTGTTTTGGGTATGAATGTGTGTCCTGATTCTTGGTGTATTTCTCAAAGTGGGTAGCAGTGAAAAAAAGTTTGAAAGCCATTGTAACCTAGAGGAGTCCATTCCCATTCCAAAGTAGATTAATTTTGACCTTGTGGAACACAGATCTGTTCTGTAAACTTGGAAAGGCCCTATTCTGTCCCACTTCCTTATTCTGTAAAACCCACAGAGCCTGAATTCCTGACCAACATCTGAAGAGATTTATAAGGATTAACCAAATTCCATAGGTAAAATGTTTGAGCTCCTCAGAGAAAAGCACTCCTGGATATATTGATGAGGAACTAAGAGACAGAGAGAGAGAGAGGCGAATAATAATGTGATTGATTGATTAATCGTGGTAATCATACAATAACATCCTTTAGCACTCTGTGTGATAGGCATGGCTCTAACGCTTTACTTCAAGTCCTCACCAACAACTCACACAGCAATCACCTAATAACACTGTGTTGGTGAGGATGTGGGGAAACAGGCATTACCATTCCCAGCTGGTATGTGTGTATATTGGCCCCACCTTTTCGGAAGGCTATTTGGCAATATCTAATCAACCTTTCACACCCTATGACCTACCAATTTTAGTTCTAAGAATGTATCTAATGGATACACTCACATCTAATCACCAAGGATATATACATAAGATATTCACTGTAGCACTGTTTATAGTAGACAAAATCTATATGTGCCTGTCAGAATGGCCGAAAGAAAAACAAGTGACAATGACAATATCAGAGGCTGGTGAGTATACATTCATTGCTGGTAGGAAAACAAAGAAATCAGTTTGGCTAGTGCTAATTAAGCCAAGCATATACTCACCGTACAACTCAGTAATCCACTCCTAGGTGTTTACCCAGGAGAAATAAAAACTTATCTCTACACAAAGCCAGTATGAAATAGTAGCGGATTTATTCATAATTGTCCCACCTGGAAATGACCTAATGTTTTCCAACTGGTGAATGGATATAAATTAGCTGTGGTGTATGTCTGTACCATGGCATAATAAAGGCTCAATAATAAAAAGGAGTTGGCCGCTGATACTTGCAACAACGTGGATGAATCTCAAATGCATTGTGCTTGGTGAAAGAAACAAGACTCAAAAAGCTACATCCTGTAGGATTCCACTTATGCAATATTTTGGAAAAGGTATGGAAAGCTCATCAGTGGTTGCCAGGGGCTGGGATAATGAAGGGGACTGTCCATAAGGATGCACTAGGATGATTTTTGGAGTCATGGAACTGTCTACATCTTGGTTGTGACTACACAATTGTATGCATGGATCAAAATTCATAGAGCTGTCCAGTTGGAAGAATGAACTTTATTGCATGGATACCTCAATCAACTTGACTTTTTCAAAGTTCCCGGAAATACCAATATCATCAGTAGAGAAACTGGTTAGTAAATTAAGGTACAGTCATAAATGAAACACAATCATTTGAAAGAAGAGTGAGTTCTAAACATATACACATGTAATTATCAGCAATATGCATAGATAGAAATTTTTAAAAGCGTAGTCCAGTAGACAGTATGCAGTGTGTCACCAATGGTTCAGAGAAAGGAAAAATACTAAGTATTTGTTTGCCTACACATGGGATGCCTCTGGAAAGATACACAAAAAAGCAAAGCAAAAATTGTCCCTGAGAAGGAGGACTGGATGACTAGAGGGTGATGGTCAGAGAGAGACTTCTGTCTTAATCCACAGACTAATTTTGATTTAAATTTTGATTTAATTATGTGTATGCATTACTGTGCATAACCAGGTATGTGCAGGGGTAACCTGTTCAAGCCTCCTCTTGACTGCATTAAGTACCTTAACATGCTCAGTTCTGGAAAATGTAAGGGATTTAATACTTCCTTTGACCAAGGGGAGCAAGTGGATAATCCACATCTCGGGTGGACATTCCTTATTCATTCATTCATTCATTCATTCATTCATTCATAGCACAAGCAGGGGGAGGGGCAGAGAGAGAGGGAGAATCTCAAGTGGACTCTGTGCTGAGTGTGGAGCCGACACAGGGCTCGATCTCACGACCCTGAGATCATGACCTGAGCTGAAAGCAAGAGTGGAACGCTTAACCTACTGAGCCACCCAGGTGCCGCTTGGGTGGACATTTCTGAGACATCTTCTACATAGTTCCTTAGGGGATCTCTATTGGGACAGCCCAGGGCAGTAAACATCCCCATAACCCACTACTGCATTGGCTTCTCCCCCTTCAGTATCCCCACTCCAGTTTCCCAGAATTCTTCCCAAAATAAACTATTTGCAAATCAGCCCTCGGCTCAGATTCTGCTTTTTGGGGTTAAACCAAGCTAGGGCAATGACCTTCCTATATATATATACATATATAGAAAGTCCATGCAGAGTCCCTGCATGATGCCTCATTACTGCAGTCAGTTTTCTGACACAAGATCATGGCAACTGATCATTTCAAGTGGAGTAAATGGCTGCTTATGAGCTTCATGGAATCTGAATCATGAGGTCTTATGATGACAAGATGAGAATTTTATCGTTGTGGCTCACTTTTTATTTCATTGTTAGGTGATATCGTAAGCCGATGCAGATACATGGAACTGGTATGTACACAGAGCATTCTGAGCAAGGCAGGGAAAGACACCCGAAATGTCTCCTTCAACCACAGAAACTTGTTTTGATGTTTTAATAATATAGGTTCAGGTATTGGCATATGGGACTGCTGCCTGTTTCTGGAAATGGAAGTCTTACCAGAACGCAGCCCCGCCTGTTTTCTATGCATAGGCTGTGCTTGTTTTCATGCTGTAAGAGCTGAGTAGTTCCAACAGAGACCACATGTCCACAAGCTTAAAAATACTGAATCTGGCTCTTCAAGAAAAGGTTTGCTGACTCCTGACTCCTTGTTCTATAATTTTTCCAGGAAAAGGGTATACAATTAACAGATAAACCATTACTGGGGGCACCTGGGTGGCTCAGTCGGTTGAGCGTCCACCTCCTGATCTCAGCTCTAGGTCTTGATCTAAGGGTCCTGAGTTCGAGCCCCGTGTTGGGCTCTGTGCTGGGGGTGAGGCCTACTTAAAAAAAAAAAAAAAAGCAATAAATAAATAAAAAAAACAGATCAACCATTATGATTCTCTGAGCAATAGCCAATAATAAGAAATGTGACACCTAACACTTAGGAAACCCTTACTATGTGTGTGTTATTTCTTGTCATCCTAAAAACAACTGAGAGGCAAGTTGTATCAGTCATCCTTGTTTATACAGAGAAACTGGTGTTTGGAGAGTTTAAGTAACTTCCGAGCACTTGGCAAAGTCAGAACTGGACCCCAAGTCCAGTGATCTCTACGTAGCTATTTTTGGTTACCCTGAAGTGAGAAACACCTCTCCCTCCTCCTCCCCCCTCTCCCTCCTCCTCCCCCCTCTCCCTCCTTCTCTTGCTGCTGGGCCTTGGCACATGTCCATCCCTCAGCCCAGAAATTTCCTCCTCTTCCTCCCTAGTTGATTCCTGCTCCTTTGTGAGGTCTCAGTTTATACTTTGGCTCTTCCTAAAACTTCCCTGGCCAGATTAGGCTCCTTTTCTCAGATCTATTTTGGGAGGTGGGAGGGGCTGAGAAAAGGGATGGGTATGGAGACAAGAGAAAGCTTCCAAGTGGAGATGCACCACACCCATGCCCCCGGCCCCCCCCCAAACCCAGGGTCATAACCCCTCCTTGGGGGCAGACCACTTCCGGTGCCCGAGCCGTGTTAGGGTCTAAAGGTCCAGCCTCCTTACCCCAGATTGGGACAATTCTTTGGGATCTCCTCGACTTCAGAGCTTCCTAAGGGGGGGTAGGTTGAGGCCTTTTTTTCCAACTTCTTCCTCCCCTCCCCTAAGACCCCTCTCTAGATGTTGACCCCAGTGGCCCTCTCTAACACAGTCAGCTTCCCAAGGAACTGTGACTTGATCCCGGAAACCAGTGATAAGTCTGGTGGCCTCTGGTCCCC